AGTCGGCACGGACTGGCAGATGGAATACGGAGGAGGCCAACTCTATGCGATCTGATGGGACGCAGGGAGGTAATTGGCAGAAGGCGGTCTCTCAATTAAATTAAACAGTGCTAAATAAGAATACCCTGGAGTGCCTTGCTGAAAAATTTATTGGAACATGTAAGAGTTCCAGGTGCTTTCTGTAAAGAACTTTAAAAGATCAGATCTGCTCCTTTAGATAGGAAAAAAAAAACCAGAACGGAAAGTTGTTATATGTTCAAGCATTAAATTATTTCCAAGGGGGATGCAAAAGCATAGTGTAAATAGGTAAAAAGCATTTTTAAATTATATTTGCATGACTTAACAGATGGAATGCTTTAGTTTGGGAAAATAAGATCAAAACATATTGATATACATTGTTTACCTTCATATTCTTCAGTAGTTTGCATAATTTTCTGATAGCATTCAAACTGTGCTGTCATGATTTTATTGTTCGTTACACCTAGTATTGCTTGATGCAGGTTCTTAGCTTCCATTTCACTGGACCAATTTCCGTCTTTTTCATCTGGAACAGCTGTGACAAAAGCCTGGACAGATAATGAGAAAAAGTAGATTGTCACAGTTGCCCAAATAATTGCAAATGTTGTACAGAGTGTTAATTGAATTGGATGAATTAATGCAAACCATTTTGTAGTATGTAATAAGGTGCACACCAAGTAATTGGGCAGAAGAACATTAAACAGGTTCGCAATTTTTAATATGCATTATTTTGTGAATCTATTATCTTGATACTACCTGGAAAAAAATTCCTCTGAATGTTTTTGTAAAGTACAGTCCCAGTCTTTCCCTCTCCCCTCCCTCTCTTTCTCTCTCAACAAAAATATCTCCATGTCAAAAGGTGTTGAGCTTCAGGTACCTCACCCTAATTTTATAAATCACTCAAATCAGCTAAGATAAAGGCTTAGATTCCCCTCGCACATATGTGCTAGTCGTTCCCAACTCTAGGGGCCGGTGCTCATCTGTTTCAAAGCCGAAGAGCCAGTGCTTCCAAAGACATCTCCGTGGTCATGTGGCTGGCATGACTAAATGCTGATGGCACACAGAATGCTCTTACCTTCCCAGCAAAGTGGTTCCTATTTTTCTACTTGTATTTTTGCATGCTTTCAAAGTGCTAAGTTGACAGTATCAGGGACAAGTAATGGGAGCTGACTCTGTTATGAGGCACAAGAGATTCGAACCGCCGAACTGCCGACCTTGCTGATCGACAAGCTCAGCGTCTTAGCCACTGCCTCAAATCAGCTGTTAGCATTAGAGAGTGCTGAGAATGGAGCCTGTTTTCGCAGTATTTCAAAAGCCTCTTTCTCCAAACTGTGCAATTTAGAGAAGGCAGCTTCTGAAAGATCATGAGAAAGGAAGCTGCTTGGAGATTGGCATGAAGTGGTCTCAGTAAGAAGGTCACACTTCGCATAGTCTGGATGCCTACCACCAAGACATTTATACTCCTTACCCGGAACTCTGTCCAATTATTGACCCACAAGACTGCTTAATGACTGCATCCAGGACTGCTGAAATCATTGAGTGAAATAGTCATGTGACATCTTGCTTAATGACCGCTTCACTGAACAACCAACATTCCAGTCCCAATTGTGGTTGTAAGTTGAGGACTACAGTACTTATATGATTGATATGTACACTCTTTTGTAGCCTATTTAATAATTACAACCTTTTGTAATACATTTGTTCTTTTAACTTCTGTGTTCCACTTGATCTGTAAATCATCCTGCTGACACCACTGCTGCTTTAAGATCCCCTGTGCACAAATATTCTGATATTGTTATTTTGCCATTCAGAGTGGTTTTCTGTTACCCCTTGCAAAAGCCATACAAGTTTCAGAAAGGCAGAAATTAACAATGGTAACTGGGGATTGCTGGAAGTAAAGAAAAAGTTCTCAATAGAGATGGAGATAGCATCTACTTATGGGTTAACCCTGTCCATTCTCTGATTGGACTGAGTCTGATTATTAATTAATTAGCCACCTATATAACCCATCTCTGTGAGTGACTCCACCCAGCTTTTGACTCGGTCCATTCTGGACAGTCGTGTTATCCAGTGTTTCCAGTATTTGAACGAATCTCTCTTTATTGAAATTAATTTGACAGTGAGTAATCGCAGTAAGAAGAGTGGGCTGGAAACAGCCATCCTAAGTGGCCAAAGGAGCCTTGGGACTATCGGAGAGGGGCTCAGTGAGACGATTCTACCAGCCTCGAGCCACAGGGGCTATTTTGGATTTGAAGCGTCTTAATAAATACTTGAAATACCGACGGTTTAAAATGCACTCCTTGCAGTCAATATTAGAAGGAGTATGACAAGGTGACATATACCTATCCGCCAGGACCACCGTTGTTTCCTCCATTTTGGGTATGATAACTGTCATTATCAATATAAGGCCTTACCCTTTGGCCTCTCGTCTGCCCCTCGGGCTTTCATTAAGTTGTTGGCCGCCCTTGCAGCTCATTTGAGGACAGTGCCCATCAGGATTATGTCTTATTTCCTGCAAAAGGGTTCTGTTGCATTTGTTTCCATCTTTTCTTCTGCCAGCCAAACAAACTGCTACTGGTTGTAAGGAAAAACCTGTCAAATTCCACAGACTGTCCAGCATATGGGATCATATGATTGTGATTTTTACTGCTGGCTTCTGAAAAGCAAAGTCTACGGGGAAACTGGCAGAAAGTCAGAAGTCATGATTATGTGAGGTCCTCACTTAATTATCCACAGGATTCTTGCTTAACAATGGTAACTGGGGATTCCTGGAAGTGCTACTGCTAAATGGTCATGCTTTATAACCACAATGCTTAATGATGGAAATTTCGATCTCAATTGCCATTTTGAAATGAGGACTACCTTTTACTGGCAGAATTCAGAAATCATAAGCCATAGTATGATTTATTTGTTCTTAGTTAGGCATGAAATGTCAAAGTAGCCACTGTGATTTGTAACTCATATAATTAATGGCACAGTATGTCATGGAAATCCAGTCAACTGGGTATTATTTAATAAAACATGGTCAAAATATAGAATAGCATGATGCCTATAAAATGGGGCTGTTGGAATGCAAGACAAGCAAGTGGAAACATGCATGTCGTCGTCATCATCATCATCATCATNTTATTATTATTATTATTATTATTATTATTATTTAAGAATTTAATTTAATTTAAACTCTTGTACAAGAATAAACAATAGACCTATTTCTGTCAATCACTCTTAGAAACAGAAAGCCACTTGAACCCTTCAAGCTACCTGTGAAAAAACACAGAAATAACCCTGGCATTGTAACTAGAAATGTTCCTAATTCCATTTCTAAGACTGTTTCGTTCAAACCACTATAAAAAGATGCTTATTTTCTTATGTTGAGAGTCTACAAGTGCCACTAGGCAACCACTTCCATCCAGAAATTAATAAGGCATGGATGTTCATGGATACAGTTAGCAACAATTTCTACCACTCTAATCAATGGGATTAAGAATAGTTCGGTGGTTAAAGACACCTGGCTATAAAACAGAAGAGTGTGAGTTCTAGTCCTGCCTTAAGACATAAAGCCATCTGGTGACTTTTAGCACAGTTTTGGTCTTTCTCTCTCTCAGCCCGAGGAAGAAAACATGATCAAACCATTTCAGGAAAATATTGGCGGAAAAAATAGCATCCAGTTGAAATGACCCAAAAGAGAGAGAGATAGAGATAGAAAGGTACTGAATAGATTACTATCAAGTACTATTTTTTTTTCATAAAAATATAACAGAATAATCAGGATTATATTTGGGGAGGATAGGATGCTTCCTGTAAACACCTCCCCTCTTTCCTATTATTTCACTGATTATTATAATTGCTTAATTAGATGAAGCTACACATATTTGCATACAATGATGTTCTCCTGAGTTTACTAGATCATATTGCCAGGTATTTTATGAAGCAACAAAGATACTAACGTGGTAGACACTTACTGGGCTATCTGCAGCCACTGCTTGGTTATTGGCCGCTCCTGACAGAATAATAATCGTTATAATGGAGTTGCAAACAAAAGAGAAAAAGAGATTCTTGTGCAATGTGATTCTTTGGCAACTGAGGCTCCTGAAAGAAAATGAGCAAGAGAAAGTTAAGTTAGCGAGAAAGAAATTGTGTTCTTATTTCTTTCCTTTGAACAGAACAGTTTCTTTTTAGCAGTTTAATTGCTAACTGGAAAGTTGTCTGTAGTTCAAGGGCATTTGACCTTCTGAAAGAGCCAGAAAGAGTAACCCAACTGACCCGCTGAACTGAACATATTAACTTGCCGTCAACACTTCAATTATCATGTGATAAAATATGCTACAAAGGTTCACTCTACATTGTGAATGAAAGATTGGCCATAGTACCTTAATTATTCCAGGAAGCCATTAATTTTGAATCATTTATCTACATTAGAAAACTAGGGTGATCAGAATCAAGACAAAAGAAAATATTAAGCTATATTCTGAAATTGGTTTAGTATCCTGGTTTATTTTCAACCTGATCACCATTGCTTTCTGGTTTGAACAGAACAAAAACAGAGTTTTGTTTTTTTTTACCCGCAAAGAAAGAATGATTTAGTGGTATGCATGTTAAAAGATAACTACATATTTGTCTGAACATGATTGATGTACATTAAAGAAACAGTTGCAAGTATATAAACAGCATTCATTAAAAAAAAAAGGTTATGGCAGAAGATGTATTCTAGATGTAAGCCAAAGTTCCTAAAAGAATTTACTTGGATGAGATAGAAGAGCATTACACTGAAGTATTTCAACATTTGCAATTTGGAATAATAATACATTGTTTATATAATATAAAGAATGAAACAAAGGTCAGAGTGACTTGTGACACAGTTTATATTTCTTATTGGTTAATTAGTCCTCCTCCTGATTTCTGACATCTTGAAGGTTATTTACCATAGCAGTTTGAATCAACTGCCACTAACACTTAGTCATGTATATGGGCTAAACACAAATTCATATTTGGACTTACAACTTGCTGGAAAAATCGACAAATAAACTATATTGTATTTGCAGGTTTGGTCTCTAAATACCTATCCCAGTGGCTTCAAACGTCTCTCCTATATCATAACAGTGGCTTCATATATCCCTCCTATATCCAAACTGCCATAAAATCAGGCATAGACTTTGGAGTTATATGATCCCAACAGTTTTCTTTCAAGGTAACTTCAATATAGGACAATATGAATAAAACTAAACAACTCTTGCTTTAAATCAGTACTCAGAATGCCAGAAGTAACATATTATTAATTACATACAGGTACTGACTACTGTATAAGCTATAGGGCTGAATGCAATTTAGAAATGAAAATTATACTTACTTAAAATAGAAGAATATGCCAAGGGAAATAATAAGTGAAACGATTGAAAGGCTATGGCCAATTATAGAGATATAGTACAGATTCAGAGCTGTCTGTAATAAAATGTAGAAAGAAGAACAAACATTTAAGTACAGCTTACTTAGCATTACATTATTTCAAAATAATTGTTGGAGAATAAGAGCATCAAATCTAATATGAGAA